CATTTATCATAATATACATATATGCATCAGAGGCTATATAGTCTTATATAAGAGAGATGTTTGTATTCCAAAGGCATCTAGGCAGATGGAAAAGTATTAACTTTTTTATGACACAAGTATTTATTAAATTATATATTATGTTTTATATCAACAGATTATTAATAGCAAATTAAATTTGTATACCTCTTATATGATTTGGCAAAATCTCTCAGTCATATAAGTAGAACGCTTTGCTATAGGTAGTTGTCAGCAGTTCAAAAGCGATTTTCACTTTCCAATTGCGCGTCACACGCAATGCTCACCCGACATCCCGCTCACAGAGGCATTTCACTTAAATATGATTGAATCAGTTTAATTGATTACACAAACACACTCTCACACAAATGTGGGGAATGTGTATATGTGTGTGTGTATGTGTATAAATATGCTCAACATGATTTGTTGTTTACGCTTATGATTTAGCTGCAACGCTTGCAATTTGCAATTTGAGGGCAGGTCAGTGCACAGCAATAAGTGAATCTGCTATGTATATATTCTTATATATAAAAAAAAATAAATAAATAAACATAAACAACAACAGCGATGAGGAACTGAAAAATTCTCGCACAATTAATGTACATTTGCATTACGCGCGCCTCTCTTTGCGCTTCACAAGATGCCGACGACACGCGTGTATACAAACAATATGCGTATCACCTCGGCATAACACAGGGAACACAATGAAAAATTGAATACCTAGACCTGAGGTCTCATGTAGAAATGTAAATGTAACTCGCTCGCTCACTTACTTAGGCGGCCCTCTGCCGTATAAAATTACGTGCGGCTGCTCGTAGGCATCCGCCTACTCCTTTTCCATCTGCCAAAGCGTCAGTATTGATTTTATGGTATTTTCGTGCGTGGGCCAGCGTAACATATGACATTTGGAGCATGCACACATATTTTATTCTGGATGCTGCAAATGGGAATTGGATTACAAACAACTTTAATAGGATTATTACTCTATGAAAATGGAAACCCATACCTAAAATATTTAGAGCAATTTAAATTTATCAAAGAAATTAAATTTAATATTGAATCTTGGTTTCAGAAATTAAAGAGGATTCAACAGGTGCGAATCACAACACATAAACCTATGTTAAGTATTATGTTAACAAATATAACAGGAGCCTCTAAAAGTCTGTTGAATGTATTTATTTCAAGGACATATTATAATGCAATTAAAATTTAAAAATGATAAATTTGCATTTAAATTAAAAATGAAACTCAAATTGTAATATTTGTAAAATCTAGATAATTTTTTAACAAATTAATTGCATTGACAGTTTATAACTATGCCGTATACTTCAAAGCGTTATTATTATTCATAATAAAAGCAAAGCAAAGCAAATTTATGGTAACTTAGAATCATATTTTCTTATCTACTCTTACTCTTTGGCAAGAATACATCTTTCTAAAAACCATATTATGTTTTCTAGGTTACTAATAATTATATATATTATAATAATATACTATAACATCTATGCTCAGCAAAAATTATAAGTATTTGCGAAATCTTAATACTGGACTCTTTTTATTTTCATCAGAAACATTTTTATTTTATTTTATTTGTATGTGAAAATAGCTAAATAGTATTCTGTCAGTGTTTTCCTAAACTATGTCAAGTGAAAGTATGCGATATAAGCATATTTTCTGTTTATTTTGCTAGCTCTTAAGATTATGAAATACAAAGTCTGTGTTAAGTGTCTTTCTTGAAAGTAAATGTAAAGCATTTACGAAAAGTACATTATTTAGAATTAATTACGAATCATAGATCTACAGATAGAAGTCATAATCAATCTCAATTGAAACACTAATTTGATAAACTAGAGAACACATTTGAAGCGTAAATATACATATTTCAAGAAATTTTTAGGTATCGTTCCATTTTCTAGATATGTATGAATAAACTTCTCTTATAATATCTGCAAAAGTATAACGCATCCTTTTCCATTTAGACTACTCTCTGGACTACTCTCTTTTGTTACCTTACCACGATATTTGTAAAGTTTTGCTTGTGTACATATAGCTAACATGACTCTTTTGCAGCTGACGTTGAGTCTTTGCTAACTAACACTAACTTGTCTCCGCTTCGTAAGAATCTGCGCACTTCGCTCTAATGAAACAACAAATGAGTCTATTCGCAGTATTGTGAGTATTTAAATAGAATTTAGATCATTCGATTAGTCAAAATTTTTGATTTGCATGCGTTCAAGTGTAGCTAAATTGCATGAGTTGAACTTCTAAAGAACGTATTGATTATTATAACTATATACATATATATATGTTACCCGGCATAATCAGCAACATACAAAACTTTCATATCGCTGCTTTTGGTGGTGCTTGTTTGGGGCCCCCTGCAAAATGATTTGCTATTTTTATGGACAGCAAAATGTTATTGCTCGAATGTTTATTTTATCTCTAAGTGTAAAATCTATAATGGGACGTTAAGACCATACAGGGTTAACATGTCTGGTGTCAACCGTGAGCGAACCCTTTTATAGCTGTGAAATGTGCATAGAATTGTTTGTTTATTACAGTAAATATAAAATGTAATCAAGTAATTGCGTTATGCTGTTAAGCAATAGAGAGATTTTTCGTAGCACTCATGTTACATTTAACATTTATATGCAAAAATCAAGAAATTGTTAGGCTAACATAACTAGCTTAACAAACGTAGAGGGTGTGTTTGTAATAATATATAGAAGAATAATATTAATATTATCTTATATACATATATATATATATATATATATATATATTATCTTATATACATATATAATTATATGTGCGTATGATCCATGCGGCTGATATTTCAAGGCTGTTGTTAAAGTTTTTACCAATCTTATCAACATTTTATTGGTTTGTTGAGTCAGCTATGCAATATATTGATAAGAATATTAGAATTCCCTGGCTAACACTTCGTCATGTGGCCTAACAGAAGTTATAAAAAAAAAAAACTACAAAAAATCGGTTTAGTTACATATTTCGAGTCATCAAGCAACGTCAGAGTTTGCCTTTAACCCCTAGAGTGTTGATTCTTATCTGTTGGCCTTACAAATAACATATGTTCTCTTTCTATGTGAGGCTGATAGGGCTATGTACACTCGCAACTGTTTATGTTGTATACAAAAAATAGGAAATATGTAAATGGAAAACAGAAAACCAAAAATATATGTTCAACAGCTGTTAATAGGCATCACTTAGCGTTCCGTCAATTTGAGCTTATTCCATCTGTTTGGCAATTTATTTGCATCTTCTTGACAGTCCAGTAAACACCTTTGTTTTGTATACAACTGAGCTGTTCTTTTAATGAACACTAATAGCAGCTAACTGGCAATTAATTGACTCGCCGTGTGCATATTTCAGGTATAGCGGGAGAGGTTTTTTTTTAAGGGACAGCTGTTAGATAGTGTTCGTAATTTCACTATTATTTATTGGGGGTCTTGTGAAATATTTGAGGATCATAAGTATATCAATTGTATATTTATAAATCAAAGCCAGCATTAATAAATGAAGTATAGATAAATAAAATGAGACAGGGAGATAAGGAAAAAAAGAGTGCCAGAGAGTGCATTAGAACTAGACGTGTGCAGAGATGATAAGGTCTATGACGGTCTATGTCAACAGACGTTGCTGATAAAATGGTATATATTTAAAAGTATCTAAAAATAAATTTAATGTGAAATGAAACGAAAGATAGTTCAGGTACTCAGGTCTAAAAAGTAAATACTAAAAAGTAAA